AAAAGTCATATATGCCTGGTCAGTTTTTGCCGTCTCCACTTGACTAGACATTGGCTAATTCTGGGTATATTCTTAAAATAATATATAGCTCACTAGTAATGTACAGATAAATCATAGAAGTAATTCCCTGTACTAGGGCAATGTATTTGGTATGTCTAAAAGCAATTGCGGCTAATGTGTAGGCGTAATAACTAGTGGACATGGACTAGTACTCTACTGCCTGCGATACCTACTGTGAGTTCCGGCTTGCAAGAATGAATCTGCTGGGCTTTTTTTGGGATCCTGCTCTATTTTTCTCCTGGTGCAAAACCCTAACCCTAACCTCTCCCAAAAAATGTATGCAATATCTACTGCTAGTAAGTATTTTATGAATTTCTTCCAATAGCAATAGCTATACTGGTTATTGTATTAAAATTGAATTACTGCTAATTACCCAATCTGGACAGTCTAGTATATTTTTGTTATTATGTAACAGATTGGATGGCATTATAAAGCCCCCCAAACCACTATAGTATATACTTGAGGCCCCTAGTGTATATAACTCCATAGTTCTAGCTATTCTAGTGCTTGAGATATAAAACGTAGTACAACCACTAGCAAAATGCCTAGTCAAGGGAGCATGACAAAAACTGACCAGGCCTCTATAACTTTTTCAATGCTAGTTATTGACTATCTGGTTGATTTCTTATAAATCTACAGCCCCTCAACTCTGTAGGCGGTTTGAGGTAAACAGACAGGCTGATCTTCAATATCTGAGAAACACCTGTCTTGGACCGGGGACACGATAGTGGTTTGCACTGCAATTCTAGCGTCTTCTCGAGCTCACTCAGATATCAGCCCTACAAAAAAATACCCAACACAGTCCTTCCAGCAGTTTGGATTGCTGCTACTGACAGACCGTTCAACTTATGTTTCATCTGTGTTTTCAAGAGATGGAATGGTTGATATGGTACGAAGGGCCGATTTTATTGTCAAGAAAGCTATGTAGATACATTTCGAAAGCACACAGACATATGGGTTTACAGTAGGGTATAGACAAAGAGTACAAGAGAATGTTCAAAGCAGAGGGGAGGTTACAAGCAAGAAGATACAGGCATTCAAAAGGCAATGACAGAGTGGATCAAGTAGCTTATGAGAATGTATGTGCAGGGCCTAGGTATGAGGTTCAAACTCATACAATCTCTTGGCCTTTTGATGGGCACAGAAGTAGGTCACGGTGCTGAAGTAGCTGGAGAATGTCTTTGTCCCAACAATGTAGCGGTCACCGATATAGAGCGGACCATCTCTCACTGAGGCGTTGAACTGTGTCCTGAAGTTTGGTTAGTGACGGAAAGCTGTACAGGCATAAAAGAACTTACTTCAGCTTGTAAATACCGACACGAGGTCCCTGCAGCATCGCATAAGCTGGCCAAGCGTACTGACACCCCGTTTTTGGCTTTGCGCTCAGAACTCGTCGCCGCCAGCGAGTCGCATCTCGGTCATTGCCGAGATGGGATCACATGTGACTCCGCTGGCTTGTCTCTCGATATATGCGCTCCTATATGCGTATACCTCCCTCCACGGTCTCAGTCAATGTCTACAATATTGTGTCAGGGTCTCATTCCTTTAGCTCTCACTGCACGTCCCAAACGGCCGTGGCCTTTGACTGTTATTCACCGATCACGCCTTCAAGACCTCAACTCTCCTCTATCAGACCCCTAGTGTTCTACTCCTGGGACATACCGGCACTCCGGATACCACCTGATAGGCTCTTGAGGCTTATCTCTGAGGTGCATGGTGGTTCCCCGGGTCTTCTTGTGTACGCGTTACTGTACTGTGTCTTATTTTCTGAGATTTGGACTCTCTTCCGTTTCCTTTCTGTTTCCTCTACTATACTATACTTCCTATTCGTTCGCTCTCTTCCTTGCGTGTACATCATATAGTTTGTCATCCTCTGTATCTCTAACGCTCAGCATTTCGCTATTCTACTACATATATTGTACACTAGCTTGCAATCTACTCCAGGTTTCCCCTGGTTTCTTCCCCTCAGTCCGGAGCTCTCGCTCCTGTTTTTTTTAAGGATAAAAGAGCTGCGCTGAAGGCGCCAACTACTAGTTTAAAGTACCACTCTTGCTCCTGTTTTATCGTAGCGCCCTCACCCTTACCGTGTTTGGGGTTAGTTGTTGTTGGTGTTTTCCGCCTTCAGTGCCAATCATACGCATCAGTACAAGGTGAAGGTAGGTTGACCACCCTTCAGTAGCCATTGCAGTGTGACTGATCTCTGATCAGCAAACAGCAATGCAGCAGTTGGATACTGACAGACACCATGCATCTCTGATCGATCTGCCTAAATTCGCCACAAATGACTAGGTTTTATAACCAGGAACACCAAGGAAAACAATTGATCTTAGTGGTTGGAGAGCTACTCAGTCATAAGTCTCTAGCTATATCACATTCTGTCCAAAGGCAAGTTGTGAGTTTGAGTCACAGACTATCACATGTATTACATTTGCTCACAGAGCTCACATACATACTGTATATAGTACAAAGTATAATGGGATACACTACTCTATGCTACTATGGTATTTTCGGAGCTTCCTGAATATTTTTGGAGTTAAACTATGGGTTACGAACCTGCCTATGGGCTATGTGTTATGGGGTATTAGAATGTCATGAGTTCTTACAGCCTACCATGTTTGTGGGCGGCCAAATGCTATGGTGTATCACAGATTATGGGTTACCGCAGCTATGAGTTAACACAGAGTTGACTGTAGTGCCAGATAGGTTCTGCAGTACTTCAATTAGAAATATATAGCCAAGGGACTGCAGGATGCAGCTATATTGAAGGGAAATAGGCAGAACTAAGTGAGAAGAGTCCTGTACTGTAACCACAGTAGCTGGAGCTATGTGGTATATACAGTAGATAGGTCATATATGTAAGTGTATGATTTTAGCTGCGCATAGCTGTATCTTTAGCAGTCAGGTCTTGGCATTTCGACTAAGGTAAGGAAAATAGAACACAAAGAAGTGTAGCACTTACTGTGGGAATGTATGGTAAGGCTGGTGCAAGTACTAAAATCTAGTATGTACACCTGTAGCTACTCCCAGTTTGAGAATCAGGGAAATTTGTCCAGCAGTTATAGAGTACTAGTTACTTGTTCCTCCTCTTTAAACTCCATCAGTAATTAGACAATTGCAAAGCAGGCTTCTCATGGATAATGCTGGTGGGGACAGATCTAAACAGCTAGATTTTTATAACATTGTCTCAATATGCTGATAAGCTTTACCTGTACTAGATCTACCAGTACTACTAATGAGCTGGCAATTAAAAAGTGTAAGTAAATTGTAGACTTTGTAGGGCCCACTGAAATATATACAGCTCATATACAAGTATTATTGGGGTATAGCCAAGCAATGCAGCACAGTATAGAGAGGGAAGTCCCAAAGAACAGCTAGCTAAATAATATATAGATCTAGCATCTGTATCCGTATTCATACCTGCATCCACATCCACATTTGTGCCCGCATCCACATCTGCCTTTGGCTCTCTGTCTATCTACTATAGTATATGAACAATAGTCATCAGCACAGTAACTTCATTTATCGCCTTTCTAGTAATTCTTTACCCAAGCTCAGTATATTCAGATTCTTGTGATAAAAGACTTCACTGTCTCTGTTGTGACTAGATATTATTAATATTGAAGAGTATTTATAACTAATAATACTGATCAAAATGTAATTTGAGTTGTATTACACACTAACTATAAATATACTCTTAACCCTAACCCTAACCCTAACCCTAATAATCCTACTATTGTCATTAGTACTAGAGTTTTTTTGTTTATAAGATACACTTCATCTTCTTTGCTTGATATATTTTGAAATACTATAGCCTGTCAGTACTTCTATTTGTATTCTGAAAGCTGATATATTTAGCAATTTCTATAATCATATTTTTTCCTATTTCTTCCTGTTATTTTTATCTGCAGCATGCTCATTATCTTTGACATTATCCATCACAATGAGCACGGCTGTTTGCACAGCATCTAAGGCAATGGGCGGGTTGCCAAACGATAGGCAGGCAGGTGCGGCGGCAGGCCGGAGTGTGATTGGCTGGCCATAGTGTACTCTAGTGCTGCGAATGTATATTTTATTTAGTATCCATGGTATAATCTATAAATTTACTATCTGACTAAGCTGCCAGGGCAGTATTTTTATACAGTATTAATTCTACCTCCGTGCCCATGCTTCCATACGGATCATCTGCTCCCAGCATCCACTACTGTGCATCCGACTGCACAGTACAGTATCTATACTATTTATGGCCTGCTGTGGGTGCAGATATCAATATTCATGCTGGGGCTGCCATACCAGTATCCTCTACTGCCAATATCCGCATCGGATATATTATACCTTTTTACAGCCCTCTACAAATAATGCTTAATGACTCGGAATCTCGGGCCTAACAAGGCCTTTAATGAGTAGGACTCTCGGGTCTATGAGGCTAAACCATATGCAGCTAGGACTGTCTGAAGCCTCTAGTGCCACAAGTACATACCAGATTGCTCTAATTCTTTCAGATTCAGAACAGCATAATAAGATGTCTCCGTTTGAGCCCCAGACAGGTCTAAATCAATAAGGTATAGTACAGCCACCAGGCCTAGCCAGCAGAAGATTGGGGGGTAGTAGCCAGTAGGCTGGTGAGTTGATAGCCGAGCTCTAGATTGATGGCAGGGCTGTGAGAAGCACATGGCGGGTGACAGAGCCAGCTAGTCTACATATTAGAGTGTTTTCGAGCTGGGTCAGAGACCCACCTCCATAGTAAATTAGCAGTCGTAATGAAAAAAGTCTTGGCAATTTGCATCTGATCGCAGGCTCGAGGTCTTATGCCCGACATGTCCAAGCGTGACACGACATGGCATCGCGCATATCGTTGTGCGTGTTGCGCGCGTCACGCGAGCGCAATTAATCAGGCTGTAATAAGCCGCCGAAAGGCTTGCTTGTCTCACACCCACACATCCATGGCTGATCCTCACCCTAATCATAATTTATTGCTGGCCAAGATCCTACTGCTTTCATACCCTGTCATAGCCGATAACTCTTCACGACCTGATCTGCACAATACTTCTGTAGTCCAGATGGAGGATCCGTTCTTCGAGTGGGGTGAACATATAGCTATATGGCTTACACTCAATCTATTGGCACCATACCCTGGCACAGAGGGGCGTCCACGACCTGTTCAGGGTGGGCAACATATTACCAAAGAGTATCTACGTGGTCTGCCATCACGGAGTTGTGTCTGGGCATTTTGGTGCGTGGTATACAGCCCTGTCCACTCATATACTGACTGTATGGTACAGGTTTACGGTTGACCAGCTCGTCGACTTGACTGAAGCGCTTGATATTCAAGAGCCAATATATACGGAAAATAGCCATAAATCCAAGCCGCTCGAAGCTGTTGCTCTACTCTACACTTGCTATTGTCATAGCGGAGATCTCTATGATTTTATTGAGAAGTATGATCATTCAGCATCCTTGCTATCACAGATGATCATTGATGTTGTCAAGTACCTTGATGAGTGGTGCATGCAGATTGACTCTATATCATCTGCTGCAATTTATGCTATAGCAGGTGGAAGCATCTACTCAATTTTGACCACCAGTTCATACTGAGCCTGGCGAAGATGGCAGAGTATGCTGAGGCCATACGCAACCGTGGATCTCCCATCTGGACACTATTTGGCTTTATTGACTGTATGATCTGTTGCATCACACGTCCGACATGGTTCCAGATGGCAGATTACAATGGCCACAAGAAGATTCACATGCTCAAGTACCAGGCAATCATGTTACCAAATGAGCTCATTGGTCATCTTTCTGGCCCGATGGAGGGCCGACGTCATGATGTTTGGATGCTGGAAGAGAGTCACTTCTTTGAGCACTGCGAAGCTCATGCACTTGTTCCGGGAACTGGCCCGAATAACCCAGTTGAGGAGAGGTTCTACCAGGTATTCTTTTGACTAGCCTGCCTGAACTACTGACTGAGTATGTGTTCAGGTTTCCGGTGATTCTGCATATGGAGTTGGGCCCCATATTCAAAGCAATATTCATAGTTCAGGTCAGCAGACCGAGGATGAGCGCGCATTCAATGCAAAGATAGGTCAATTGCACATTATAGTTGAGCATGGATTCGGTTTGATCTCGACAAAGTGGCCATGGCTAGATGCAGGGTGGAAGATGCATTTGTACAGCTCCCCGGTTGGCTTGTACTACCGAATTAGTGTCCTCCTTTGCAACGCACATAACTGTCTCAACCCAAACCAAGTAGCACAGTACTTCGATTTGTTACCTCCTCATCTATCAGAATACTTTCATGATTAATCTGCACTGTTCGTCTGTGATAAAACTGCTATTTGCTTGACTATGGTCAAGCAGCAAAAGTGGCTACCCAGAAAGTAGAAGATCGGAGTAAGCCTGTAGTCTATATTCATAAAACGGTATATAAGATGAGGGATTAGTAGAATGTAGGTAACCGAGTGTAGATATGTAGATAGACAGATCATATAGTACAGCAAAAGCAAATGAGTGGACAAAGCAAGCCAGGGAAATGAAGAATCCGAAACACCTCTACTATTGCGACAAGTTGACGAGCTCCTTGACGAGCCCCCAAAACCCATTGTTGAACTCCTACTTGCTCTTGACATCCTTGCGATAGACGGCCAGACTCTCGCTATGAGTGGCATTGGCCTTGTGAAGAAGATTATTGCCCTCTTCGACCTTCGCAAGCAACTTCTCAAGTCGCTCAGCTTGAAGAACCTCAGCCCGAGCCCTAGCCTCCTCCTGATCCTTGCGGATATGCTCGAGGAATGTCTCTACTTCTTTGGTGACGATGATGCCTTCGTAGCCAAATCCGAGTGAGTGCGCTTCAGGCGACGATCCTTTGCACACTCTTCTAGAGGACGTTCTTTGCTGATTTTCACGACGAAGAACTGGCAGCAGCAGCATGCGATGAAGTTGGTGGCTCATCAGGGCGCCCCGACACAGAGCCCTCATCATTGCTCTTGGCCAGATCGATGACCTCGTCCAATGGGGTAGGACGAGGGGCGGCACAACGTGGTGGTCATTGCAAGCCGGCGATACATCACGGGATGCATCATGAGCCGACGACTGATGAGAGCTACCTTCACGAGTGGGCAGCAGGCTTGAGCAGCCACTATGAGCTGGTGGCAGGTCGACACCGGCGGGTGGCTGGTCATCGCGGCCGGGCAGGGGATCATCGTGCACAGGCAGCAAATTATTATGAACAGGCAGAGAGTCGTTGCGGGCAGGCGGCAGGTTGTCGTGGGCAGGCGGCAGGTCATCACGGGCAAGCTGTGGCTCGTTGCGATCACTATGAGTATTGAGCTCGGCGATGGCCTTAGGTGTCGCTTCGACCAGATCATGGAACTTTTTTTAGATTTGAGACCGCAGCATTGCGAATGCAGTTGCCCTGTGCTTGAAGAAGCTCAGTTTTCTAAGAATATACTGTCAGAATGATATATAACTATGACAAAGCAGAGTAGCTACCTTGATCTTCGTCCGATGTTCTAAATTGGTCAGCTTCTGGAGACTGAGAGACTGCAGGTGGAGAGTGCAGAGTTTGTCAAGGTCACCGCCCATGTCATTCGGAAGGTGAGCCATCACCTGTGACAGTTGAGGATGCGAGTTCAGATTGTTAATACAACAATTAGATATATTGACGACCCACAGCAAAAAAGAAGTACCTCGTGCCAGGCACAGATGACCTCCAGACGCTTGTCAACGAGTCCATTGGAGAGATCTGCACCGATGGAGTGCATATAGTTGCGGATCTCAGTCTGCATTATCACCCCACTTGACAGTGAGGGGATATTTACGGTCGAGGGCGGCAAAGACCAGAGAACGCCACATGGGAGCATCCATGCCCAGGTACTCGGTCACCTATTCCTGCTCGTCCTTCTTGGAGTGACGACGTGATGACGACACGGAGGTAGGCTTTGCTGGGTTTATAGACTTTGCCGAGTTCGCACCAACTAGCATAGTCTGCGAGCCAACGAGAGGACTCTGTGGGGCCACACCACCACGAGCAGTCAGAGCAGCCTGAACGGTGGGTGGTGGCATTGCCTGTGCTTGGAAGGGGGTGCCAAAGAGCTCGCCAGGCTGACCATACGATACAGCCCGACCGAAGTTGTTTGCCGGCATACATGAGCTGGGAGTGCGGGTATCCGGGTGCGGATAACCACCCATACCGTGAAGACCCACAAATGTGACGGGCGGCGCGCGCGTGCATGGAGGCGGGCCGAGGTTCCGGATACGAGCGTGGTTGAGATGGGTATAACTGCGAGGGGACTATGGGGACGACTTCAGTATCAGCATTACTAGAAAACACAAAAGGTAAGGCTTACCTTGATAGCGAGGCTGAGCCTGGGGCTGCTCCCGTACCGGCAGGACAGACATGTTCATTGGACGGATATCGCATGCGAATATCTCGGGGTACTTCTCGAGAGCATCCCGCTGGCTCGGGTTGCTTGGACTTTCTAGCAAAAGGTGAGAAAGGGAGCTAAAGCATTTTATAAAAGCATACATACGATGAGCGGGTGCCGATGACGGTGCATACGACGAGACATCATACAAGGTGGCTTGGGAAAGGTCGGCAAAAGTGGGGCGGGCTCGAACTGCATGTTCTGCTCGAAGCGGGAGGCGTGGGAGAGCTCCTGGGTGGACGGAGGCATCTGAAGCTTCTGATAATCATCCCATGGTTGCGAGTGAGTGGACATAGTTGGTACATGCACCAGGTGCAAGAGAACGAAGATGAGAGTGAGAGGCGAGGCGCGCCTCGTACCGCGGAATAGTGAACGCGACTTGTTACACTCTAAACAGACGCGACGGCCGCGACGCTCAGCCCACCGTACCTTCCGCATATTTGCACAGCTAATGGCGCTGCTTGGGTAAAATTAGCACTCGTGATGAAGAAAGTAGAGCCATCGTGCAACCCGGCTCGAAAATACTCTATTGACACTATTTTTTCCCATCAATCCTCATTCCGCAAATTATTATAGATTATATAGTAAGATAAGATGACAGATTAGATTAGTACACTCATAGGCTCAAGCATAAAGTTGAGATTTAAGTCTTAAGTATGACCTGTGGGAAAAATTTCCAGATTGAGCAGGAGGTCGCAGCACATGCAAAGCGTGAGAAACTCCTGCCTAAAGTTGCCAATTGCTCAGGCACGGTTTTTCAGATCCGTGGTAAATCAACGAGTCAGAGATGACTTGTAACATAAGCCAGCTACAAATTGCTCACCATCTCGTAAGCGTTTGGATGCTTCCTCGCCATCCTACGCTATTGCCTTGCACTTTTTGGCATTGGTAGGGCGTAGGACCTGGAGCCCAGCAAAATGGTCCCATACTGCCATGCGGACGTGTTGGTGCTTCCCAGCTTCTGAAGGCCGCTCAATAGGAAGCTCATACAGCAATCTATCGTCAAACTGCACACCGAGACGTGTTTCGGCTCTCGCGATCGCTCTTTCTCAATACAGACCTGTTCCTTTTTGGAGCATGTTGCATTGAGCATGGTGCATGCAGTGCTCTATTTTCCGGGAGAGCAGCAGTCTAATCGTACGGATACGCCTGTTTGATGGGCCATGTGTGGCGTGAGAACGCCACCCACTAAACCGCACCCCGTGTTCACATGATATGTGTGCAATATATGAATACGAGTCGATCACTGAGCTCGTCCTAAGGTCTATTTAATGCTCCTGTGCCTCTTGTGGGAGGGACAGCATGAGAGCTGTACAACTGACGGTCATCGTCACGGTGTGCGAGCTGACGGTGGTGTGCGGCCTGATGGTGGATTGCTGTATAGCAAACGTATCAGTGCAGCACTGTGAAATTGTGCAAGGTTGAGGATGTGATCATTGGGGCATTGATCATGGCAATATTTGTTGTTGAAGAGATCTGTCTTACATCTTTCCTGCATCCTCGCCAAAGTATTGGACACCGTACACCCATTGTGAGCACGGTTATGGAATGTATGGATGGTGCATAATACATCCTGTGATGTGTTAGTAGTCAGAGGAGGCTGAAAACGGACTGATCAGCTACCTCTGGCCGGATAAGGACTATCGGTTGTAAGGAAAGTGTCAGGTACACGCGTGGCATGCAATAAGGTAGTTGCAACTCGCCAGTCTCCCAATGTTTGAGGAGGACAGATAAAACATGTCCCTTGTATACGGCGAGTCTGCATCTGGTAGACAGAGATGGCCATGGATGATAGTGGCTCGAGAGCTGCTTGTCTCTGACCACGGCTGCTTGTTGACACAACGTGTAGCAGTGATGGGTTCTGGATGTGGCTTGCTCAATATCACCACTTGCACTATTGTTTGTAGTACTTACCTTCTATTTCAAGCTCTTCTGTCAAGCCCATGAGCTTGGCAAACAAGGGATCCTGCAGGAGCACAAGAACTTCTGCACTCACTGTACAATATTACTTGCCAGACTTCACAAAACTGCCACAGATGAGATGGCTTGCTGCGTGCATGAAGTTCATCATGTTTGCAATCTCTTCGCTCGGAGCCTGGCGTGTTGAGTGGACACTCTGTTTGCATATGACAGAGTTGAATGACTCAAATCCTTTGGTGGCCATGAGAAGGGCAGGCCCAAAATGTCGTATGTGTGTGGAAAAGTGTAAGAGGATGTGGAATCTGGGTTTGTTGAGCCAATCAATGTTCTATTGAAGTGCAGCCAGTAACAGGGCATTGATTGCCGACTCCAAGCAATTCTGTAAACAGAGTAAGAGGACACAAGCAAAATGATACAAAGAGCATACTAAGTCAGACTCCAGGCCACCAATGCGGGGTTGAAACACCAAGGGGGCAAGCTGAGCAACACATAGACACACTTCGAATATGGGTTCCGGAACAAGACCATGAAGTACAGCCGGTGCAACATGGGCAATGATGCAGAAATCACGGCCGGTTAAAGAGCCCGTATAGTTGACAAGAACATTAGCTGAAAGTTGTGATGACAATCCAAAGGCATGGGAGCCAAGGGATTGCAGACGTGCACGAAGGGTCTTCTTCCCCGTCGATGTTTGCCTGGATACTGCATTGCACCAGAAGTACTTAATAATTCCCAGGAGCACAACATGGAGTATCTCTACAGGAGTATCTGTATGGGGATTGAATCCTAGAGAGATAGTCAGCTTGGCAGCTCATTGAGGCTGTCTCGCACTCTCGTACCTTAAAGCTGGAAGATGGGATTAGTTAGCTCTTCGAAGGTGTGATCCCGTCATAGACGTGAGAAGATGTTAGAGACACCGGTATCCCTAGCACTTTTATTTGCGGTATTGTACTCTCAAAGTTTCTTTGCCTCAGTAACGAAGTCGTTAAAGATTGCACTAAACAACTTGTCTTTGACACCAGACTCTGTCGCCTGTTTGCCTAGCTTTGTTGTATAATCCTTACAACTGTGCACACAGGGCTGCCAGTGTCTCAGTAACCTGCCGAGTCTTCCCAACTTGTCATATGTGTTCAGAATGCGCATATAATGAAAGTCCGAGCGAGGCAGCCCGACCTTCATGAATTCTCCCACTCTCTAAACTTCGCTTGAAGCGCGAGGCACATGGCTGCTGTTGCCTTGCACACGACACATTCAACAGAATAGCTTCCCAGTCAAATCCACATGCGAGGCCATCTCGCTTTGCATGGGGTGATCTCCGAGGAATGCAAGCACCCAAGGAAGGACCAGAACTTCCTCATCGTAGTGGCAATTCCATGCTTCCAGGCCACTCTCACACAATTGTCTACTCGCGTGTGAGATGTGTGTGACAACACATGATGAAAAAGACACCGACTCTATCTGGCGGACAATTTTGCCGAGCATCTCAAGAGGGGGTGC